TCCTCCCCTTGAAAGGACCTTACCCCACAAATAAAACCTACCATCCCACCAGGAAAGGTGATTCTGGTGGAAAGGAGCAGGCAGATCTGAATCCAAATGGAACTGATCATGGGTGGGATTACTCAAGTCCAAGAATTCACATCACAGCCCAAAGGAAGGAGAGGTTCTGAGGGCCACGTCCCCAGGTCTCAAAATCACAGATGCTCATGGCTCTGGGAGCCCAGTGGTGCTTGTTCCCCTTAAGCAAGGGAAGTGTCCCTCCAGGTGGTGTTTGGAAGGAAGAATCCTTTCCAGCCAGCGTTTAGCAAGGACCCACTCGGGGTGAACGGTGAGGGCGGGGGGTGCTGGAGATGGAATGGCCAAAACTGACACTTATCACAAGAAAGTCCCAGGCGAGTGGACATCACACCCCATCAATGATGAATGCTGGCTTCCACATGAGGCTGATATTAGGGAGTAATGACAGGGAATGTGGGCACTGAAGGAGTTAGTGTGGCAGGGCAGACAATGGAGGGACATCAGGAGAGCACAGCAGCACTAGGAGCCACCAGTCAACAGCAGCTGCCAGAGACCAGGACCGGAGGCGGCAGGAAGGGGCATCCCAGGGATGGCGGGAGGAGGGAGAAGCAGGAGGACAACACTTCAAAGTGCAGAGCGGAAGTCTCCGTGGCTGGGCGGTCACTGAGATAGAGGAGGGGGACGGCGGGTAGTGGGGAGAAGTGGGGAAGGTGGGTCTAGGAACTTGGGGTTAAGGTCCAACAAAAACACCACCCGATTAACATCCTTCACCTGCAGTCATGTTGTAGGGACAGCCGAGGCAGGGCACCCAAGACAGCAGGAAACAGTTTTATTTGGCTGCAGCCAGGTTCAGAGGGCACAGGTTTTGCTGTAATCAATCAATCCCCTGAACCCTGAGTTCAGGGAGTTTCGGAATTTTATACCCAGCGTGTAAGGGGAGGGGCTCAGAAGCTCACAGTCTGCAGAAGTTCACAAAAAAGCAGCTTTTTCTCTCACTGTTCTGGGCAAGTTAACTCTTCAAGGACAACACCTGAGAAGGGGAGAGCTTCTTCTCCCCTTTCTTTCCTCCCCCTGCCCGCTGTTACCATGGAACACAGTTATTAACTTATCTTAAAAATGTAGACATCTCTGTGAAGCCCAGCTCAAGGCCAGAGGCCTTGTTTGCACAGTTCTACAAAGTACTATATTGGATACATGTTTGTGATAAACCTGTAAGGGGTGTCCAGCACCTGGAGTCTGGAGTGCTGGTATCTTCTCGGCCAGTGGCCAAGTGAACAGGGTGACATAAAAATAGGAAGTTTATCTACATTGGACTCTTGCAAAGACTCTTTTGCTGACAGTCCTAAAATCAGCCATGGTGAAGATTTCTGGAGAAGCCCAGTTAAGACTTTTCTGTGGAGAAAGGGAGTGCCACTTCAGTCACTTGGCCATTGACAAATGGCCCCGGGAGCCAGGATCTCACCTCCTCCCCACTTGCCGGAGATCTATTAGGAAGGGCCTTCTCACCTGAGGGCCATGTCTGCTTCCCCATCAGTCTTATGCATTGACCTTGGTCCCACGCTTAGGACAAATCTCCGCCCACTCCCTCTCCTGTCATCCCCCCTGCAAGTGGAGAAAGTGTCTAGTTATTCCAATTACATCAGCCGCTCAGAATCCCAGCCCTGTCTGTAGAGGTTGGCAGCCCCACACACGGGCTTCATGTGGACAACTTCATTCCACACTGAAGGAGACAAGTGGCACCACTGTGCCCAAGTCACTCAGCTAACCTAGCTGACCTGTCCCCCAGCCTGCCTGGCCTGACCCCATCAGCTCCCTCCCCTCCTACTGTGCTGCTCCAGGTAATCAAACCCTTAACCTCAGAGCTGGAAGCAGCTGCATCCCAGAGGGAACGCCTGGCTCTGCTCTCAGGAGACCTTGAAATTAAACAGGCTTGAAAAAAAAAAAGTGAACCCCCACACGGTGAGAGTCATATGGTTATGAATCCAGGCAGCCACTCGGCCCTTATTTGTGGTTTCACCTGCCACAAAGTCAAAACTCCAGGGTGTCAATAAAGAGGCCACAAGGCCACGGTGATGCCCAGTTCCCAAGAGGAGCCTCTCTGCAGGCCCAGGTGTCCTGGCCATCAGCAGGTACTCTGTGGAGGACAGCCTTTGGGTAACTCCTCAGCCTCTTCTGGGGTCCCCAGTCAGGTCACAAGTGCCAACCTGTGCACTTGCCCCCTTGCTGGACTCCCTCCCTCGACGCAGGACACCTGTTAGTGTATTTTTCACAGCGTTTCTCTCCCTCCTGGGCAGCTTGTTCCAATTTTGGACAGATGATCTTCATTATGAGGACCTTGACATCGGGCTCCCTGCACATCCCTCCACAGACTTGGGGGCCACCAGAACGATCCTCAGCTCTTTCAGGTGACAGCCTCTGACTATTGGCTGAGGCTGACCAGGTAAACCCTGGGCCTCGGCCGCTCCGGCATGAGCAGCCCTGGTTCTTTCCGCTGTTCCGTGTGTGACCAGGTTTGGAGGGCACTGCCATGCACCTGAGCGGGCCGACTTGTCTAGATCGTTTTAACAGCATGGAGCCCAAAAAGAAACGCAGCAGCCCATCTGTGGACTAACTGCCGGGTTCAGAGGCCTGTAGCTGGACACTTCTATTAAGGTGCCCACACGCCCAACGCCTGCATCATGCAGTCTGTGACGCCCCTAGCATGGGTTTAGTCTTCAGTGTCCTGTGGAAGGTATAATCCAATCTGTGTGTGTCACCTGCAGTATTTCCTCAACGCTCCCAATTTCCCTTAATTATCTGCCAATCTGGCGAATCACACTAAGCCAGTGACCACTGTCACTCCAGCACCCAGGGCTGGGCCTGGAGCATGACATCCCCGGGTCTTTAATGTCAAACCATGAACACAAACCATGAGTTCCTGGCTCCACCTCCCGTCTCTGCTCTCTGGGAACCCACACCATCGGCCACAGGTGGCCACCCTCCCTCAGCCTCCCTTCATGTTTCAGGCAACCTCCCGTCACCCTATAACCTGGAAAATTGTGACAGGGCTCAGGGTTCCCTCATCAGTCTCCACCAGCCACAGGGGCTGGTTTCAGTACTATAACTCAGGCCAACCAATGACAAGCAATATTGGGCAAGGAGGAAGAAGGTGTCCTTTTCTCTTGGAATTGGTGAAGATAATATGCAAACCACAAACTGGCTCTATGTAGGAAAATTCACCCTGAGAGAAACCAATAGGGATACAGAAAGACCTGGCTACCAAAACATCTTTTGAGCCCCTGGATCCAACCCTACCTGATATCGGAGCACAAATCAAAATTCAACAACTTTCCTACAGAAAAACATGTGACACTCTTGTCACACCCCTTTCCCAAATCGAACACCTGAGTGAAGCCCAATCTATAGAAAAATCTTAGACTCTTGAGTTTAACGGGGGCTCCCTTGTGACTGGCTTGGAGGCCTTGGGCAGATCACCAAAACCTAGATGCCATCTGTAAAACAGGGATATTAACTAGGATCTGTGTAGGGTCATTGTGAAGAAAGACTGGGGTATTCAGTCCTCACAAGGCCTGGCCCTAAGAAGAGCTCACAATACTCGCTGTTCACACTGTGGCATCGGCACCGCCACCATTATTGTTCGGTGACTATAATGAAAACCAGTTTGGTTACCCTGCAGAGCGGCGGTGTCTCCTCTCATTACACCGACAGGAGCCCAGTGGCCTCAGTGCTCTGTTGTAAGGCCTCCTCCTCACCCTCTTGGGGAGCATGCTTCCTCCTGTCTCTTCTAAGTAGATCAACAGCCAGGTGCCCTTCCTCTGATCCCTTTGCAGAAGTTCACCATTCAATGCCTGGGCATACCCTACTCCATCTGGCAGCTCAGATGACCAGTCCAGGGATGTAGCTAAGGGACTGGAGCCGTAACAGGGGTGTGACACTGGGCCCCAGCACTGGGCTGGGAATCCTGACCCTCCCTGCTGTGCTAGCACACAGCTAGCTCCCTCCACCTTGCTCCCATTCACTCTGGCGAACTCAAGGCCCATCTCAGGAAGGGAAGAGGAGCTCCTAATTAAAAGGTAGCCTTGAGCTGTCAATAAAAATATGCATAAAAGAAATGTTTTAAAACATGGAAGTGACTTCCTTGAGACATATTTTCCTTTGAGTGTTTTTTCCCTTATAATTCAAGTATGGGGGAGAGAAATATAAAGAAAATCTGCACCTCAACATCGCCATTCCTTCTCCCCAATGCTGGGGCGCCATCTTGGAAACCCAAAACACTGCCCTGCATTTGAGATAGCTATCTGGACAAACGGCGCGTCCAGTCTTTCCTGTGGACCTCTGGAGAGTGCCAGGGATGGTCATTTATATTTATCTCTCTGAGGAGGGCCACTCTTTCTTGCATCCTGTGCTGGGCTTCTGGGGATGATGGATCATCTTCCCTCCCCAGTCCGGGCCTGACACTCCAACAGACCTCTCCCACGGCAGCCCCGCTTCCTCTAGCAGAACATGCACCGCTGTGTGTGGGAACCATTTGTTAAGCTCCCTTCTCCTCCAGCAGCCCCGGGGTGTCCAGCACTGGTATCTCCCCATCCATCTCAGCGCAAGGTTGAATGCGGACATCAGATAACACCAAAAGGCTGAATGTGTGAAGAAATGAATGAGCAGGTGGATGGGAGAGTGGGACACTGTCTCCCCAAAGACCTGGTTATTCTCCACGGTTCAACCTCCCCCACCATCAAGCAGTGAGCCGTCTGACCCAAGGGTGCTGGACTCGGTGTGCCCACCATCTGACCTCACATTGGTGACTGTCTCCCAGCCACCTGTGCAGCCTCAGCCAGGTCCTTTCCTGGGACCAGGCATCCATTCTGACCTTCTACCAAACGCGACCTTGCCATCAGATGGCCCTGAGGTCCTTTCTAGGACCCTCTGACAGCCAGTCTTCCCTTCCTTCCCTCCTTCCCTCTCTCTTTGTCTTCCCTTCTTACCTTCGAAGCTCCCAGCAAACAAGTAAATCCAGGTGATGGCCGGGATACAGAGCAGAGTCAAAGAGGCAGCCAGGAATTTCCGTCTACCTCTGCAGATCCCCAGCATCCTCTCAGAAGTGGCAATCCCTAATCCCAGCGCCGTGTCTCTGTCCGGAGCATGAAGTCCTCGGCCTCCCTCATAATACTTTCTGAAAGGAAGAGCAGAGAGGGAAGGCTGAGTCCTTGGCATGATACCTGGACGCAATCAGCAGAGGAGAACCGTCCCACAGATCTTGGATTAAAGAGTTCTCTGGTGGATGACTTCCTGCTCATCTCTGTCACAAGAGATGACAGAGGTGGCTGCAGTCTATCCAAACGGAGGCAGTTAAATACATAAATAAGGGTCTCTGTAAGGGCCCTCCAGAGCATGCATATGCACAGGTGCTTCTAACACAGGTTAAAGGAGAATTTAGTTGGCACCTGTTACCTACCAAATACCAGCCAGGTGCTATGTTTTCACAGACTAGAACACAGGTGAACGTCAAAGAGCGTAACCTAAGGAGACAGACCAACAAAAGACATGGGAGCTCCGAGAATGTGACAATCAAGAATTTCACAGACCACTATGAAGAGCAGGTGCAGGTACTGATGGATTCTTGTGTGATCAAGATGGCAGATGGTCCCTGTCGCCAGTCAGAGGGACTGTCAAAGGCCCCTGAAGCAGCACAGGAGCACATGCAAAGAAAAGGAGATCAGCTGGGCCACAGCATCCACCTGCACGCACCTGAACCCCAATCAGCGCTGAAAATCTAAACACCAGTCAGGGGGGACGGCCTTCATAGCTTCTACCTTTGATAAGGGAAGAAGAGCTATATCCATAGAAGTATGGCAATGACTAGAATGTGCAGAGCACAGACAGGAACAAACAGATAATCTCTATCCAGCCTGTCCTTAGACGAGGGCAGAAATCTGGCCATGATGTTTTAAAACAAGAGAGGAAGTCAAGTCACATGGAGCAGAGAGCCGTGATCTTCCACCTGAATATCTGATCATAAAACCATGTGTATGACATGGAAATGGAACCCGCAGGCCACAAGGTCTCATCTCCACCAATCCCTAACAGAGGTGTCACATGTCTACAGCTGGCGCATGCACCCATTTGGACTCCCTGACAGAGGAGAACCACCCACTGAGGACAGTTACAGAATACTCCCAACTCCCAAAGAACTGCTGTCTGTGAAATCGCCGCTTTGGGTGTCTGCTCCTGTATTCCTACGGGTACCCTCCTCTCTGCCACCACCTCTGGGCTCCCCTGCGATGGTCTAGAGGCACTGCCTCCTTTCCCCACCAGCCTCGGAGTTTCCAAAAGAGCTCTGGATTTTCCCCACCCCATCTGATCCTCCTTGCCCCTTAAGACTCAAGCAGACAGCCTGTCGCCTGCAGACGCCCGATACTCGTCTGTTAAAGGGAAAACGGAATCAGATTCTAACCAGGGCGACGCTCTGAAGCGTCAGGAGCTTGCGTTCAGCGTGTCGCAAGCGGTAAACACCTAACGGGGCCCATCTCGCCCGTCCACCCCGGGCTTTCTTCTGCAGTCAACGGAACGGAATTTTCTAAACGTCCTTCTTTTGAAACAGATGAAAGACCCCAGGGCTGGAGGGGGTGAACTAGAAAGGGAAACTCAAAAAGCAAAATCCTCTTGAACCAAGAATGTTGACTGGAGACAAGTCCCCCCAGGGGACTGGAGCTGGGGACGACAACAGACCTTGCCCACACACTCCACAAGTCACAGAGAATAAGGGCCACCAAGCTCCAAGACTGTGGGCAGAGGAAGTGGCGGGGCAGCGGGGAGAGGGCAGTGCCCTCAGACAGAGAGGTTCAAGTCCAGCTACTGGCTCCACTGGCTGGCTCCGGTGGCCTTCATTTTATTCCTCTATCAACTGAAGCAGAGCTATAGATGAATTTAGGCTTTGGGGGAATGCAGCATGGGAACCGAACTCCACTGAGTTCATAACACAGAATGTTATTAATACTTAAATAACATTTTTTAAAAATAACCCTCTAAGATACTTGTTTCCCCGCTTTCTCCATCTGCTGAAGTTAATTTCAAATTGCACAATTTGTACAGAGTTTTGAAACAGAGTCTTCGGAGGTTGGCCTTTTGCGATAACACTGGTATCTCCAATTAAACCCAGCAGGCGAAAAATCTTCCTTCGTGGATTTGACTTCCCAGTGACACCTCTGTGTACTAAAAATAGGTTTTAAGGAAAATCTCAACTGATATCAGACGCTATTCCAGGAAGTCAACACGGGAATCCACTCAAGAAGAAGGAAGGACCAGGAGGTCAGCTGAATTCCATCCCAAAAAGTGCAAAGGTGGATAGGAGGAAGGCCAGCCTCCAACCAGCTACCTCCATTGCTTCCAAGTGGACAGGAGATCCCCCACCTGCTATCCCAGGTGTCCCAGAGGCCTCACGAAGCATTCCTGCCTCAACTCCAACATCCAACTCCCTGCCCAGCATGGTCAGTTAGAAAAATCTACCCCATCTGTCTTCTCCCCTCTGCCTTCACCAATGGAAAACACATGTATGAAGAACAGTGGAGGAACCACGGATCTGTTAAGCCACAAGAGCAGGATTTGAAGCTCAGTGACTGACAATCACATGTACCCCTCAGTCCAAAGTAATACTATACAGATGGGCTAATAGCTACATATTTATACATACCAAAAAAAGGATTTACATATTGAAAGTTATCACTGGATATAGATTTTGAATAATTTCATAGTATATGAATATACATTTCCCAAGTTTTATACAAGAAGCATGCATTGCTTTTATAATTTAGAACTACATAAAAACTTAAATCACTATGTCTTGTTATACGGCCTGCAACTCAAAATACCTCGGTGCAGACCCTGAGGTCTATCTGGGATGAGCCTTAGTTTCCACCTAGGTGCAGGGAGTCAACATCTGTAGTATCCTAATTCGGAACACACCCTCCGGGGGTGCAGTTTACCATTTGAAAGACTCCAGTCAGAAACCCACATTCCAAGTGTCTGCTCCAGCTACTTCCCATCAACACCAGAGGCTGTCTTTTAATTAGCATCATGGATGTTAGAAATGACTTTTTCACGGGTGCGTTGTCTAGACATGCTGCACCTGAAGAGGTTGCAAATGTCGGTGGAAAAAAAATAAATCTAAGAAATGAAATGGCCCAAACACTTCAGAATCACTTAGGATCCCAAACCCATCCTAGCTGCACACAGTAATTGAAGGATGAGGGCCACTTATTCCTACTGAAGATCTGATGAATATTGACACTCACACCATGTCACCCATTCCTTCTAGAAGGTACTGTAACATTGCCTAAAGCCAGCTGGACCTCACTGAGGTTATAAGGAAATGGGTCCTACAGCAGCAAACCCCCAACAGCTATTAGTTTCTTAATTATCGTTGTTTGCATTGTAACTATCATGACATCATGCCTTTCCCCTGGCTATCCCCTCAACCCTGGCCCTGTCTTGAATACCTTCCTTTCTCGCCTGGGGCTGGGGACAACTTTCAAGTCCTTGCTCCTCCTCTCTGAGGAGGCCAGTCCTGGAGGCTCTGCTTCCCTGGGAGTCTAGACTGTATCTGGAGTCAGTAGCACATCCCAGATCACTTTATTGCCATCCACCCCTTTCCTGTGCAGTAGCTGAACTCCCTTCCTTAGACTACAATCCCTTAAATGCAAAGGATGCAGGTCTTCAGTGTTGGTGTTGAAGCCCCTCCCTAAGCCCAGCCTCTAACACCCAGGAAGGTTCACACTTGCCCACCTGTTGAACCAACAGCACCAGCATGGCTGGGATCTTGCAGGAAACGCAGAACCTCAGGCCGCACTCCCGCCCTGCTGAATCAGAATCTGCACTGCTAAGAGGCCCAGGTGCTTCCTGTACACACGGATGTGGGAGAACCCTGTGCTAAAGCCCTTAGCAGCTAACTGGTTACCTCCAGGGCTCCTGAGCGCCCCCTTCTCCCAGTGCAGGGACTGCAGCTGAGCTAGAGCTCTCTAGTCCTAGACTGTGTTCACTACATTTATCACAATGGCTTTCCGGCAAGTGGAAGCAGAGTTCCTAAAAGAAAAAGTACCATTTTCTTAACTAACAAAAGCGTCCCTTGGACTAGCAGTGACTCTGACGACTCACATGGCAGCTTCCCATCAAAATCTCCTCTGATGTTTGAACCATGAGAGAAGAGCACCAAGACCCCCCGCAGAGGCTTCCAAGCACAGGGCACTGAGTGAGATACCTAGAATGCCTGGACTCAGATTCTAGTACTGTTTTCTGTACAAACCCAAAACGGCTTCTTTGGCACAGGATACCTGTTGTACCACCCCATCTCTCCAGTGGGACCTGAACACCATCGGGCAGGGCCCTTCCATTTCACACATTGCTGTTTTGTGTGTTACTGGCACAGAGTCTGGCTTGCAGGAGCGATCAGTGAACAGTTATTGGCCAGATGGACTTCAAAGTCCCCACTCCTTAGTGATTCAGGGTCCTTCCCTGTCCTTGTCATGGTCATTTGGTCACTCCTGGCCATTCTCTCCTTCGTGAAGACTTTAGTTTCCACCTCACATTCTCAGAGCTTTCTTCCCCCCATCCCAATTCCACTGTAAAACTGCCCTATTCAAAAGATTCACCACTTCCCATGAACAAACCCACATCTGAGAACGTGTGATCAACAAACGCAGCAGAACATCAAAATTTTCAAATGCCATGCCCCCAGCCCCCTCTCACCCCAAGGCTGCCATCGCACACACGTTTCATGGCCATTGGGAGCCCCAATCCACTGGGTTTCTTCAGCATTCTCCAGCCAGGTCTAGATTTTCTTTACTCTCTCTCCTTCAGCTTAGAAGCCACAGCTCATTATGAGTGAGCCACAGCCTCCCTCTGTAGGTTCTCAGGCTCAGCCCTCCTCCTTTCCTGGAAAAATCCAAAGCTTCAGAAGAATGCAACCATGCTTGTTCCCCATGGCTTTACCTTGGAAGCCAAATCAGGTGGGCCATCTCACCACAGGGCGGGCAGATCTGTCCCTTTGAGCCACTTCTGATTTCAAAGGAATAGTCAACTGCTCAGACATGCACTATCTTTCTGTGGTATCTGAGTTTCTGACCTCTGAGATGTTTATTTCATACATCTTGTAAATTCCAAGAATGTTCCAGGATCAGG